TAACCCTGGATCCCAACAGGAGTGCTTGTTAAAAAAGTACAGGTACTAGGGGGCACAGTGGCTCATGCCTGTAATCCCAACACTTTGGGAGGCCGAGGTGGGCGGATCACAAGGGCAGGAGTTCAAGACTAGCCTGACCAACAGGGTGAAACCCAGTCTCTAACAAAAATACAAAAATTAGCCAGGCATGGTAGCATGCACCTGTAATTCCAGCTACTTGGGAGGCTGAGGCAGGGAAATTGCTTGAACCCAGGAGGTGGAGGTTGCAGTGAGCCGAGATCATACCACCGCACTCCAACCTGGGTGACAGAGTGAGACTCAATCTCAAAAAAAAAAAAAAGAGTACAGGTACTGGCCAGGTGCAGTGGCTAATGCCTGTAATCCTAGCACTTCCTGAGGCAGGCAGATCACTTGAGGTCAGGAGTTTGAGACCAGCCTGGCCAACATGGCAAAACCCCATCTCTACTAAAAATACAAAAATTAGCCCAGCGTGGTGGCAGATGCTTGTAGTCCCAGCTACTCGGGAAGCTGAGGCAAGAGAATCTCTTCAACGTGGGAGGTGGAGGTTGCAGTGAGCTGAGATCACACCACTGCACTCCAGCCTGGGGAACCAAGTGAGACTCCATCTCAAAAAAAAAAAAAAAAAAAAGGCCAGGCATGGTGGCTCACGCCTGTAATCCCAGCACTCTGGGAGGCCGAGGTAGGCAGATCACCTGAGGTCGGGAGTTCAAGACCACCCTGACCAACATGGAGAAACCCCATCTCTACTAAAAATACAAAAATTAGCTGGATGTGGTGGCACATGCCTATAATCCCAGCTACTCGGGAAGGCTGAGGCAGGAGAATTGCTTGAACCCAGGAGGCAGAGGTTGCGGTGAGCTGAGATCACAACACTGCACTCTAGTCTGGACAACAAGAGCAAAACTCTGTCTCAAAAAAAAAAAACAAAAAGTACAGGTACCTAGGGTGCTACTCCAGACCATGTAAGTCAGAATACCTGGGGTGGGGTGGTATTAAAACAATAATCTCTGCTCTCTGACTTCCATCAGATTCTGAGATGTGTCCCACAAAGGGTTAAGCACTAACAACACTAACAATGGCTACACCATTTAGCGAACCAGGCAAGTCCAGAAACTCATTGTGCAAATTATTATACTAGCTCCCTAGGCCAGGCTCAGGACTTCAGGGCCAAAGGATAGACAGCTTTGCTGGGATGCCATAGGCAACAGAAGGCAGTAGGCTGAGTTCTCAGGGGCAGCTCCACCTTTTCCTTCTACTGCTTTAAGGAGCTCCCAGGGCAGACTTCAGGCTTTGTGCACTTCCACCAAAAATCCTAGCCCAGCCTCCCAAGAATCCCGGGGCCCATGCCTTCAGCTCTCAGCTTGGAGGCCGGCACTCACTCCCCTTTCACTCTGGCTGAGGGAGGGGCCAGCCACTGGGCAAGGGCCAGATGGGAAGCTGGGCCTCCAGGCCTTAGCCCTGTCCAGGGTCCTGACTCCTGGTCAAGCGCTTTCTTCAGCCCTGAGGCACCTCACTTGGTGTAGAGTGCCCCTTGACTTGTGCCCTTAGGGTGCACTGGGAAAGGGCAGCTCCTGAGAGGTCATCACAGGGCATCCCTGCCTATCTCACCCAAACCCAACCCCAGCCCTTTCATAGGTTAGATTCATTGTGCGCACTGCCTGTGCTACGCTAAGCACTCCTGGTCCTCAAACCCCCACCCCATCACTGCCCACATTTAGAGATGAGGAGACAAGTGAACCACGGGTTCCATGGCTCTGCAGTCACCAAGAAGGGGGTTTCCACAGCACACACATCACTCCATAAGTGTTCCCGCTGGGGACTCCTGCCACACTAAGCAAACCATGTGACCAGCCTGACAGCCACCCCACAGGCTTCATACTCTAGGGGACTGAGTAGATGGGGACCCCCTTCACCAGGGTATCCAAAGCCCAGGCTCAGCAGACCATAAAGGCCCCACCCAAGCCATTCACAGAAAGAGAAGAGAGCAGCCCGTGAGGAGATTTAGTGCAAACATTCTCTGCCGCCAAATCCTCGCTTTCATCTCCGCCCTCTCATGAGCCAAATAACTTGGAAGCTTTCCTTGATGGTTTCCTCTCTGCCCCAAGATAACATGGAATTTATGCCGGCCACGGCTCAACCTCGTCACTTAGGGGACCAGGAAAACCTCTCAGGCTGCTCTCCAGCCTACTGTAGGAGGAAAAGCTTGTGCTCGGCAACAGTTCAAGGGTTCTGGGCAGGGAGGACTTCATTGGCCCTTCTAGAGCCCAGGACTTGAGGTGGGGAGGTGTCTCCTAGGCAGACCTCAGAGCCTGTGGAGGCTCCTGGGCTTGGACCCAGGGCCATGTGGAGCCAGTCCCCAGCAGGGTTGGGCATCGATACTTGTACCATGGGTTTGACTATTTTTAGGTGTGGAAAGGTACAAAGGCTCTGGGCTGGAAAACCCAAGAGGCAGGGGAATTTTCTGCCCCATGCAAATTGCTCTTTCTTCTCAGCCTCCGCTGACACCTGTTTCCTCCCAGGCAGGCCCAATCCTGGGTGCAGATGGCAGCCTTGTGCCTGGGAGGTGGCCCCTCCTCCCACTGGAGATTGGAGGAAGCAGAGCAGGGGCAGAAGACTGGCTTAAGCTCCCCGTGGAGTCAAAGAGATAAGCCAGCCCTAAGAGCTCCCCAAAACTTCCCCATCCCACTTCAACTTGAACAGCTATGGGAAACAGGAGATAGGTGGGATTCTCGAAAGGCAGGTTCCTCATGTCTGAAATGGGAATGACAATTCTTGCCTTCCAGGACCAGGAAGGCACATAAAGGTAGCTACTGTTTTACTACTTCAACCACAGCAACTGGGGAGTCCCTGTAGTTCTCAAGACTGGGGTGAGGCTAGGCGCAGTGGCTCATCCCTGTAATCCTGACACTTTGGGAGACCAAGGTGGGAGGATTGCCTGAACTCAGGAATTTGAGACCAGCCTGAGCAACATAGTGAGACCTTCTCTCTACTGAAAAAAAAAAGACCAAAAAAAAAAAAAAAAATTAGCTGGGCATGGTGGTGTGCACCTGTAGTTCTAGCTACTAGGGAAGCTGAGATGGGAGGATCATTTGAGCCTGAAAGTTTGAGGCTGCAGTGAGCCATGATTGCACCACTGCACTCCATCCTGAGTGACAGAGGGAGACCCTGTCTCAAAAGAAAAAAGGAAAAAAAAAAAGACCAGGGGTGGGGAAGGTCCCAAACAACCAAGAGCCAGCAGGGCTCCCCAAGGCCCCACTTGCCTTTTGCTTCCTTGGCTGCGCTTAAGCACAGCCCATCCCCCTACCAAGCAGGGCTACCCCAGGAGGGCAGTCAGAGATTCAACATTGTCCCACCCCACCTCCACCTCACCCCCAGCACTGCATTCCCCTCCTCTAATGGTATTCCCAGAGAAAACACTGTCTATACCCTACCCACCATGGGGCCATGGAGGTCAGGCTTGGGGGATGGGGCATCAGGTCTCAAAGAATCCCACTCCCACCTCCCCAGGGGAGAGTCCTTGGGCAGGGCAGCTCCTGGAGGAGGCAAGGCGGAGTCCTTTTTCAGATGCAAGGATCTGCAGAAGCCCCCCTCTAAGGGCTGGCTAAAGACAGTGGAGCCAGGACTGCACCTGTGGTGAGGGAGCACAGAGGAGAGGCCAGCATGGAGCAAAGACATCCTCCCCAACCCATGCCGAGGGCCCTGCCACCAAACTCTGGGCCTTTCTGCCCTCGGCACTGTGAGCCCCAAGGATTTAAGGTCTTGGCTAAATGGCCTTGGCATCCTCACTTTCCTTATTTACAAGAGGACTGAGAAATTCTGGGCTAGTTTTAATGATTAAAAAGGAGCATCCAGCCCCAGTGTCTGGCTACTTCTTGGCTGTAGTACAGTGTCCTACTTAAGAGCCAGGATTAGCCAGGTGCAGTGGCTCATGCCTGTAATCCCAACACTTTGGGAGGCCGAGGCAGGCAGATCACCTGAGGTCAGGAGCTCAAGACCAGCCTGGCCAACATGGTGAAACCCCGTCTCTACTAAAAATACAAAAATTAGCAGGGTGTGGTGTGTGCACCTGTAATCCCAGCTACTCGGGAGGCTGAGGCAGGAGAAGCATTTGAACCCAGGAGGCTGAGGTTGCAATGAGCTGAGATTGCTCCACTGCACTCCAGGCTGGGGAACAGAGCGAGCCCCAGTCTCCAAAAAAAAAAAAAAAAAGAACCAGGATTAAGACCCTCCATCTCTCCATGCCCCTGCAACCCCATCTGTGCCAAAGGCTTCTTCTGTGGTCAGTGCAATGAATGCCTCGTGGCATTAGCACTGAAGACCTAAAAGAAGGAGCAATAAGGCCCTAGGGTGGGAGTTTTCAGGAACCTCAGGAAGGAGGGTCCAGGTGTCCAGGAGTCTACCCACCCCCAGTGCTCTTCTCAGTTCCAGAGGCCATAAACCTCTACCTGCTGTAACAAACATCCCAGGTCAAAGTAAGGAAGGCTTCAAATGCAGATGCCTGTGAAATGGGTACAAGGAACCTATGACTAACTGGATGGCTCTGAGGACCCCATCCCTTATCCATGCGCCAGCAAATCCTTACCACTCTTGGCTTAGCCTACAAAATATCACAAACCCTACTGCTTCTCATTCCACTGCTACCACCCAACTCTAAGCCACCACTGTTTCCCTGCTGGATGACTGCAACTCTCCCTTCTCTCACAGCAGCCAGGGAGAACTTTCACTAAAACATCAGGCTGTGTCATTACCCTGTCTGAGATCCTTGAATGGCTTCTCCCCTTGCTCAGATCAATTGGAACACCTTCACAACAACCTGGAAGGCTGAGGGAAACTGGCCCCTACTCCCCTTCATTCCACTCGGCCACGCTGGCCTCCCTCTGCACTGCCCGTGCCCTCTGCGAGGAGTGCTCTGCCCCTGTCTCCACAGGGCAGCTCACTCTCACTCCCCACGGATCTCTGGGAAGCTTGTCACTACCCACCTCGGAGGGCTTCTTTTCGTTCTGCCGGGGCCAGCCCGACTTGGTGCTGCTGGGCAGTTTGGAGCATCTTGATGCGGATGTAGATGTCGCATGACCTGCAGAGAGAGAACAGTCCATTAGGGGTCCTGGAGGGCCAGGAGCACCACCCACTCATGCCCAAGAATAGGAAGCTTCTAAGCAAAGCCCCGGCTAGAATGTTCAGGAGGGAGAAACCTCAGTGAGCACCTAATGGACTATCCTTGCTCTGGGCCTCAGTCTCCCCACTGATGAATGGGGACATGAAGCCTCCTCTACTCGCCAACCAGAAGGGCTGCAGAAATCAAAGGCTGTTACTGGGGCTCAGTATTAGTATAATGTGTGACCCCAGACAAGTCCCTGGCCCTCTTTGGGACTGTGCTCAAAGAGAGCTGGAATAAGCCTTTCATGCCCACTCTTCACCCTGCCCCAGGTTAGGTACTGTCCCAGTACTCGGGGATGATGCTGTGGGTATTCAGAGGCAGAGCAGGGCAATGGGAAGAGAGATGCTCTGAAGCAGATCCAGGCTACCAGCGGAGTCCTGACCCGGCCACTTACTAGCTTGTCACCCCAGGCAAATGATTCAATCTTGCTGAGCCTTTGTTCTGTAAAATGGGGGCAAGAGAACACCTATCTTCAAAGGGCTGTTGTGAGGAATAAGTGATATCATGCCTGTAAAGTCTTAGCACAGTCCCAGGCACACAGTGATTCCTTAGTAAACATTAACTATAATTATTAGGGTCTAAGGCCCTTGCTGGATGACAGGGCTGTGGCCTCCACCCCTATGAATCAAAGGAGCAGCAAGATATAGGGAGACACTATGGTTTTGGCTGAATAGGAGTAGCAGCCATGGGTGGGCACAGTGGAGGGGGCTGGTGAGGAGCCTTGCAAGTACCTGGCCCTCTCAAAGGGTTCCTCTGCCTGCAATAAAGTTAGAAATGGAGGATGTGGTTTTTGGTTCTACTGAGCCAGGCCACAGGCAGCATGTTGTAGCCACAAAAGGCCAGATGCTGTGATCTCCTGCTGTAGGGAAGAAGGGCTGGCCAGGTGGGATGCCAGAGCCAAGCTGAGCAAACAGAGCCTAAAGGACAACAGATGAGACCTGGAGGTAGGGACAGGGCTGAGACCTCCTTGGTCATCCTAGTGGATCTACCCTTAGGCTTAGGCTTTTGGGGGGCTGTGGAACTCTGGGAGCTAGGAGGGGCCTTGGCAAGCCCCCTAATCTCACTTGCTCATAAGTGTGAAGAAACAGGTCTAAAGTTGCACAGCTCCAAGCCCAGCCTCCTTGGCAGGTCAGCCTCTTCCTTAGCCTGGGCCTCCAGCAAGGCAATCATTGCTAGATGAGATCTTCCTGGCAGCACAACCCTCCTACCCACAGCAGATGGAACTCCTTACTCCAACAGGCACAGGCAGGCCTGGCTTTCTGGGCACCTGAGAAGAGCTGCCTTATGACCTAGTACCAGAGCCCTCACTTTGCATAAACCTCCCTTCTCTTCTCCAAATTTCAGGGGAGGCTCCCTAAACTTCTTCTGCTGCTTGATAATGCATTCCACACACCCCTACCCGCAACCATCACATCCAACTGACACGCCAATCCACACACAAGTCTACCTCTGGGATTCTATTGCCAAGATTCTATGAAGGTTGGGTATCTTCATTGATTTGTTCAGCAAACATTTACTGAGCATCTACTATATGCCAGATCATAGCTGGGGATATAGTGGTAAGCAAGACAAGAGACCTCTTATCAAGGAGCTTACCACTGATTGGGAAATGGTACTTATCCAGTAAGTATGATAAAAGGTGACTGGGTTTGTATCTGTTGTATACAGACTTTCTATACGGGCCTTGACTTACTATATAGAGAAGCCCAGAGGGGAGCCGATCTGTTCCAACCAGAGCAAAACAAATGGAGCTGGGACCTAGAGGGTAAGGGGGAGTACAGCTGGGAGAACAAGGCCCTGGAGGTCATGGAAGGTGCAGGGACTTTTTTAGAAGTGGAGGGGCAGGAGTGGAGAAACCTGACTTGATTTATGCTTTCATCAACATGCCTCTTAGTGAAATTAAGACCATAGGGCAGCCTCCTCCCACCTGGGCCTGTGGGCCTGATCACTATTCAAATGCTTTCGCTGTAGGAGCCCAAATTGGAAGGCCTTACTGTCAGTGGTGTCAGAGTTGTCACTGCTGATGGAGTATTTTCGCCTCTTCTCTTCCATCTGCAACAAAAGGCAAGCCCATTATACTCACGGATGGCTTGGGAAATCCTCAGCCTCTCAGAAAATCACCCCATAACCTACCTCCCCCACTTACTCCACTGCAGAAAGATCAGAATAAAGCCCTGCCCTAGCCTTCTTCTCTGCCAGCACCACCCTCTTCCACCCATCCACAGAGGCCCTGGGATTCTAAAAGGCTGCATCTCCCATCTCCTGAGCCCAGAGCCCTCGGTTAAGCAAGGGTCTAACCAAAGCTGTTGTAGAGGGAGAGGACATGGGGGTGTCAGCAAGCACAAGCTGAATAGTGACCATGACCTGCCCAGTCCCAGCTGCCACCCAAGGACACTCAGGCCCACCACTGCAAAGGCCTCCTGAGCCACAAGTCCTCTAGGGATGGAAGAGGGTAGAGGACAGGAAACAAGACTGATTCTTCCAGGAGGACCGTGCTATCGCAAGTTAGGAACAAGCCAACGTAGACAAAACTGAGGGCCTAGTCCTGTGAGTGGTGGTCAGCAGTGTACAGAAGCGGGGAGAGGTGGGGGACACTCCAGGATGGGTCCCTGAGACACATCAGGCCCAGGGTGACTGGTCCTGGGTTGGACTACCCTGCCCTCCTACTCCCCATCACCCTTCCCAGATAAAAGTACAAATAAACTCTACCTCAACTGCAACATCTAACTTCACAGTATTAAGGACAACTCTCACATAGGGGCCTCATACTGAGCTCACACGGACTCTTCCCTTATCCACACCATCTCCTGTTCCTAACCAGGTGAGCTGTGAGCTCCATTTACAAGTGAGGCCAGCACCCTGTCCTGCTGGTAAGCGGCTGAGATGGGACTGAATCCATAAGGTCTGATCCCCAGGCGCATGCTGAGCTGCCTTTGTACCCTCCATCAGCTCCTGGCTGCTGGAAGTGTTTTCCCACCACTGTTTCCTATAATCCTCATGGGTCCCAGGTGGCAGAGCCTGCTCTCATCCCCTCAGAGGAGAGCACAGCAGGTGGTGCGTTAACCTGCTCTGGGTCTTACAGCTCGCCTGTGGCTGAGTTCTAATGTGAGAACACGTCGGGGGCTCAGGGTTCAGAGCACGCTCCCCTATGTTCCCTGACTGACTCCCTACAGCAAAGGATAGGGAGGAGTCTGTGTCAGTAGAGAGAAAGCCCCATTGCCCAGCCCATCTGCACCTACCTCCCGCTGCCCCCAACCCCAGTCCATTCCTGCTGAGCCTTGGGATGCCACCACCTTACGGCAGCCCTGCAGAGACTAAGGAGCATCTGCTCTCGAAGGTGGGTTTGAACACCCACATCTCTCAGCTGACCAGGATGGCCCTCCTGCCTTGGACTTGATCTTAGCCGGGCGTTTCTCTCTACCCCAGTGCCCACCACCAGCAGGATCAGGATGGCAGGAAGACTCACTGAGGTGGCTGCTTGCCACCCAGCTTCAAAGGTGCCAGTAAAGTGCCCTCCAGAGGCCGAGGTTCCAAGGGACACTGGTGGTTCAAGCAGCACAAGGGCAGGAACAAGGATGACTAAGACTGCTAAGCACTCATGGTAGCAGGAGGGGGTCCACAGGGACTTCAATGAGTCCTTAGAGCAGCCCTTTGTTACACGCATATACCATGGCTGCTTCCCTTTCGCAGAGGAGGAAACTGAAGCTCAGAGGTTAAGTGACCTGCCCAAGATGTCAATGACTGTATTTGATTCAGGAGACTGTGCTCTTGACCTTCTGACTACTCTGCCTCTGTGCAGTAGAGTACAGACAGCCCAGCAACCCACAGCTGCCACCCTCACTGCCTTCCAGAGTCTGCGTGTCAAGGGCATGACACCTGTAATCCCAGCACTTTGGGAGGCCAGGGCTGGAGGATCTCTTGAGCCCAGGAGATCGAGACCAGCCTGGGCAACGTAGTGGGACCCATCTCTACAAAAAAATTTAAAAATTAGCCAGTTGTGGTGGCACATACCTAAGGACCTAGCTATGCAAGAGGCTGAGTTGAGAGGATAGCTTGAGTCAGGGAGGTCAAGGCTGAGGTGAGCCATGATCGTGCCACTGCACTCCAGCCTTGGCGACAGAGTGAGACCCTATCTAAAAAAAAAAAAAAAAAAGAGAGTGTGACAAAAGCTGACTGGCAGAATCCTGACTCCTGATACTAGCCTACGTCTTCCTCAGCTCAGCCCAGCTCAGTGCAACCCAGCTTTGTCCTGACATTGGTGGGTGGAGTGGGGGGGAGGTGCTAAAAGTGCACCCACCCATTTTCTCTTATAATCCTGTATGCGAATTCCATTTCTCTTCATTTCCTGCAAAGAAGGCACTTCCGAGCCAGCATCTCCCACAGCATTAAAAGCAGGAGTTGTAGATTCAGGGGTGATGGGTTCAAATCCTAGCTCCTCTCCTCATAGACCAGGGACCTTGGGAAAGACTTTCCTCCCAGAGGACATAAACTGGAACTGGCTTTTTACACAAATGTCCTGAATTTAAAATGTTGGCAACTGAGTCAGAATTTTTACAACACTTTGAAAAGGCCAAACTAAACACATCTGTGGGCCAGAATCAGCTGGTGGGAATAAATAAGAACAGCATAAAGCCCTCAGCACAGTGGCTAGTTATCCATATGGGTGCCAGTTAGTAACACCATGGCAGCCTTGGACCAGGTCGGAGAGTCCTGGAGGAAGGGCTCCTAGAAAAGAGGCAGTGACCCTACACAGTAAGGAAGGTGCCCTAGAAAGGACTCCTTGACTGCCCAGGGACCAACAGGTGAATGTCAGCATGCGGACCTACACCCCGCACCGAGCCAATTCCCCATCCAACCCTGTCCTCCACGAAACACCCCAGAGTGCCTAGGGATTATTCTGGGTCAGGGTTGTCCCATGGGAGGCTATTATTAGGGAGCAGATTCTGTGGTGGCTTAATTGTTGTAATAACTAGGCTTGAGAGGGAAGCCACTGTTTTGTGAGTGCAGCTTCTTTCCTTTAAATCAAGTCTTCCAAAGGCCTCCTTGCTCCAGCGAGCTCCCACTGTCACAGTGGCTAACGAGGCCTGGGACCGCACTGTGCCAGTTTTTTGCCCCGTGGATCACCCTCCTTGCAAACTCAGCAAGAGGGACAGGGAGGACTCCTTTCCCAAAGCTGAAATCCAGGACTGCAAACACACGTGGGGGTGGAGGTGCTGAGATGTGATCTTGGCCTCTGGTTTTTCCTCTCCCACCGGCTTCCCCCATCTCCCCCAAAGCAAGGTCTGCTGTGGGAGATTTCAGTGTCACCAGGCACTTGCTTTCGAGGACAGAAAGTGCTCCTGAAATCCTACCTATAAAGGAGACTCTAGGAAAGAAAGGATCTCCTTTTCCTGCCATTTGCACTAGTCTATTGGCACCTCTCATGCAACCCCCAGCATGGAGACACATGTAGGAAGCTCCCCTTCAAAGTGTGGGTGTCGCAGAGTCCCCTCAATGAAGCAGAAGCCCACAGCCTCTCTGTGCATCCTCGGCCCCACCAAGTCCGCTAGGCTCTGCCTCCAGAACACACCCACTTTCTTCCTACTGTCACCACACTGGTCCAAACCAATCTCATCTCTTGCCTGAACCACTTGTTCATCTCCCAGCTTCCACTATCAATTCCCATGTCCAGGCTCCACACAGCTGCCAGAGTGATGTTTAAAAAGCGTAAATCAGTCCGGGTGTGGTGACTCACACCTGTAATCCCAGCACTCAGGGAGGCCAAAGCAGGCGGATCACTTGAGCCTAGGAGTTCAAGATCAGTCTGGGCAATATGGCAAATCCCCGACTCTACAAAAAATACAAAAGTTAGCTGGGCATGGTGGCGTGTGCCTGTGATCCCAGCTACTGAAGGGGCTGAAGTGAGCCAGGAGGTTGAGGTTGCAGTGAGCTGTGATTATGCTACTGCACTCCAGCCTGGGTGACAGAGTGAAACCCTACCTCAAAAAAAAAAAAAAAGCTGGGCGCGGTGGCTCATCCTTGTATTCCCAGCACTTTGGGAGACCGAAGCGGGCGGATCACTTGAGAGGTCAGGAGTTCAAGACCAGCCTGGCCAACGTGATGAAACCCCGTCTCTACTAAAAATACAAAAATTAACCAGGCATAGTGGCGGGAGCCTGTAATCTCAGCTACTCTGGAGGCTGAGGCAAAAGAATTGCTTGAACCTGGGAGACAGAGGTTGCAATGAGCTGAGACTGTGCCATTGCCCTCCAGCCTGGACAACAGAGTGGGACTCTGTCTCAAAAAAAAAGGTATCAATCAGAAGCTGGGCATGGTGATATGCGCTTATAATTCCAGCTACTTGGGAGGTGGACGCAGGAGGATCACTTGGGCCCAGGAGTTCAAGGCAAGCCCAAGCAACACAGCAAGACTCCATCTCTAAAAAAAATTAGAACAAAATAAAAATTTTAAAAGGCATAAATCAGATCACATCATGCCCCTACTGAAAATCTTTCAAAGGCTTCATAGGTCAAAGGACAAATCCTAAGCTCCTGACCACAAGACCCTACACAGTCTGGCCCCCGCCAGCTGGACAAGTTCATATTCACCACCATCCCTTTCCTCACCACCTTGTAGCCATGCTGGGCTCCTTTCATTCCCTTGAAGAAGCCGAAGATTCCATACTTCGAGACCTGTGCACATGCTGTACTCCACCCTGCCTGGAATATTCTACCATGTAGTCTATGCACGTCTGACTTTTCAACCTTCAGGTTTAAGCTTCAGTGTGGCCCATGTCAGTCTATGCTCATCAGAGTATCTGAAGAAATTCACCACCCAGTTTCCACGGAACACCCATCCCAGCTGTGCTTGTTGAGCTACTTGTTGCATGTCATTCTCCTTGGGAATGTATATTCCATGAAGAGTAAGGAGCATTCCATCTAGACTCCGGCCAGGACCCCAGAGACATACTAGGGAGTGCTGAGTGTGCTCTCGCTCCCTCCCCCAAGAAGTGTTGGGACCACACAGTCCAGCTGGCCTGCCTGTGGCTTGCAGGAACAAACACCCTAGCCCAAGATTTCGCCCTTGTTTTCACAGCCTGCCTTCCCCGTCTTAACCTCACACATTTTCCAGGAGGCTTTATTTGGTTGGGCTCCTGGCTAATGATCAATGTCAACTCAGTAATAGGGCAGCAATTTGCTGGCAGATGTTTTCTTGGCAGCACTAGTGATTGGTCTTAGTGGGGGCCTCAGGTCTGGACTTAAAACACCAATGCCCAATGCCAGCCCCTTTTAAAGACCTCTCTGCAAATAAACTCAAATAAACACCCTGGGCCTCCATTAACGCCCTTCCAGCTGACCCTGGGAACAGTGGGCCTTTCAGGCCTGCCACTACAGCCACTCCCTGGGCAGTTAAAACACCCCAACCTGGCCTCCAGCCTCTCCTCTCCAGGGGCCACCAGGCCTGGCCTGCCCGCCACCACACAGCAGGATTTCGTCCTCCTCCTTAAAAAAAGGGGAAAAAAGGGCTTTCAAGCAGGCAATTTACCATTCCAGACACAATCTTTCAAAGAGAAACAAAAACTCTCCCTGTCTGAGGCAGACCACTAAGGCGTGTGTGTAATAAGATGCTAATACAATTTAATGATATTTCGGCTGGAAAACCTGTCCTCAGAGCCTCCTTGTGTTGCGAAGGCCAGACATTCAGAAAACAAGAGCTGCACACTCTTAAACCGCTTTAAACAGGGGTCACAGCCCCACTCTTTCCTATCTCTCATTAACTTTAATGCCTTCTCAGGGACAGTAATTGCAGTTACAAAAATGATTTTGTACACAGAGTAGAGGGCTGCTGCCTGGGATCCTCCAGTCGGCTTCCTGGACCTGCTTCTCCAAGTCTAGAGGAGCCTGAACCCTTCTCCAACACCCGCCACTGCCTGTCTGCAACTTCAAGTGTCCCAGAGGGGACCCAGCTCCCCTTGAAGACGCTGCCCACACCCACCCTCCAGACCAGTTCTGGGGACGTACCGAGGGGACAGGATGGTGGGAGAATGAAAAGGCTCTGTCTACTTTGTTCTTCAGAACCTTCTCACCCTACTCTTTGCCCCAGAAAGGGCAGAGCTCTGTCCACTCGCTCCCATATCGGCTGCACATTGGCACCTGCAGGATCCTACTGATCTCTTCTGCAGAGAAGGGAGCTGGTTCTCTGGCCTAGCCTAAAGGTGAGAGATCAAAGGTCAAAGCTGCATCAGGGCCCTCCCCAAGTATAATAAGGATGACTAATACTAATCACATGCTTATCGCATGCCTGCTTTGGGCTTAGTCTTTTTTAGGTAATCACTTATTCTATACATCCACCATAAGATAGGTACTGTTATTAATCTCATTTGCAGAAAGTGCTCCTTGTAACAGAAGGAACCGAGGTATAGAGCCATTATGACAGTTGGTAACTGTCCTGCACAGCCAGGATTCAAATCTAGGCTGTCTGACTCCAGAATGTGTACCCCATCCCCAGTGGGCTAAAGTGCACAGGCCTACAAGTTCCAGGGTGTGGGTATTCCAGATTCCTATGGGTTGTCTGAAAGGAGCTTTGAGCGGACCTATAATTGTAAGCTTTTGAGCCACATGGTAAGGGTCCTATCTGGAGGACAGGGCAAGCCAAGGGTATCCCGCTCCCCAACTCTGACCTAAAGGGAGAACTGGGAGGTCCCAAAGAGCCTGCTGCATGTGCTATGAAGAATTTGGACTAGAAGCCTCTCACCTGTGTCGTGAGCATAAGACAAGTGCCTTCCTGTTAAGAGGAACACTAGGTTAGAGCCAGAATACGCTGCCTCCTACCCTCAGCGATTTGGGGGTCAGTGTCCAAGGCCTAACTTCAATATTCTGTGGTGCATCTAGGGCCTGGGGACTGACAGTCTCACCTCACCAGTCAATGAAAGCTAAGTGGAGATTTCTGACAACCTCTTGGACTACTGTTACTGGCTCTTTAGCCAGGCAATTTAGGGAAAGGAAAAGCATTTTGGACGGGAAAACATTCTGGAAACATTTGCTGCATCCTGAGCCCAAACAACTCTATCCTTAAACACTTCATCTCCAAAAGTGCTGGGGGGACCCTTGGCCAAACAGTTTCAAAACCAACATTCACTGCAAGTCCTGCTGCCTGGGGCGAGGACTTCCCTCTGTGAGGCATTTGCTGCAGAACCAAATGCTTTTCCACTCAAAACAACAGCCAACAGCACTTGGGACAACCTAGTGGGCTCCAGATCAAACAAACATCCCTTTTTTCCCCTACCATGCAAACTTGCTCAATAAATTATTCGCCCACTTCGGATCAAAGCCTGTTTTTGCAGCCTGTGACCCAAAAAGCAAATAGCATCTCTTAAACATGAAAGCCCTCCTCCCTGCCTGGGTCAGCTTTATTACTCATTCCTTCCCCCTTACAGTTATTCTGTTGTTATTTTCCTCCTCTGCTTGTTAGATGGCTCTGCGAGTCCCAACCCGTCTAAGGAAGATGGGACAAGACGGATGGTGCGTTCATCTGGGGCCCTAAGGTGAGAAAGAAAGTCAGAGTAGGGGAGAAGCCTGGGAACCCAGGAAACAAAGCCAGGCCCGGCTGGCAGCTCCATGCTCAGTCCTTTTGCCAAATGTCCTACTGGGAATTTTACCAGTGAAGGCAGGGAGTTAATGCCACTCCGAGAGGAGGGGCCAGGCGGCTCTACCACCTCCCAGACCCAGGACTCAGTTTGCAGACATAAATGTTCAGGGGGCGTCCGGACGGCTTGTCTGGGATCAGAGCTCAAGGGTCCTCCTTCCAACAAAGGCATGGCAGCAGGTCCCACTCAGCCCCTTCCTAGCCGCTTTGGAACCGCTCTGAATGGAAACATGACACCTCTCGATGACCCCCTACAAACTCTGACCAGGGATAAAACTTTGTGCCTCAGGATCCTGCAGAAGATGAGCCAGGGGTGCTAGACGCAGTGGCGAGGTTTGGAAATCTGCAGACCAGAATCGCCGGCCGCAGTGTGCCTTCGGCATAGGGCAAAGACACCCAGTGACCCTTCACCTCCCCCAGCCTCCAGCAAGAGGCCAGCAGCCAAGCTGGTAAAAAAGTGCCCAGGCCAGCGGCAGCGGCTGAGGGGATTGGGAGGAGAGTTGCGCGCGCCTCCAGCCCGCCCCTGGAGGCAGTCCGCGGGACCGCAGGCTGGAGGCGCGCCGGCGTGATTCCGACCGCGGGAGCCGGGAGGAGGAGCCGGAGGAGGCTGCGGGGGGCTCCGGCCCAGGCGAAGGAAGGGCAAGAGGCTGTTCGGACCGGGGGCGGCGCCGGGAGGTGGGTGGGCTTGACACCCAGGTCGGGGGAGGGGTTTAAGAGACGCCGGGAAGGGCAGCCGAGCCCTGGGGCGGGTGGGGTGGGTAGCTGTGTGTAGTAGGGGACAGGGCTGGGCCTCTGGAAGCTACAGTGAAGCCTTCCTGGCTGTCTCGCAGGCATCCCCATCCTCCGGCAGAACAGCTGCGAATCGCCAAGTTGACCCCTCATCCCTTCGCCGAGAGGAGAGGGTGTCTCAGGACCCAGGGATGGGCGGGAAGAAACCATGGGGAGCCACAAGTCTGCACCCAGGCGGGGAAGAGGCGGGCGGGCGCCGCTCCGCAGGCGCAGGCGAGTGGGTGGGAAGAAGGGAGGGAGAGGGAGGAAGGAGGTGAGGCCGGGAAGATGCCACTGCCGGGGGCGGGGCGGGGCCGGGGATCCGGCAAAGGGACTGCAGCAGCGCTTGGTGGGGGCGGGGGCTGCAATGTCACTCATTTGAGAGTCAGGTGTATGCGTCCCAAACGGGGTCCGCCACAAGCCGGCATCTTCCTGGTACCACCCAGGGTGCAGGGCCCGAGGCAGAGGGCAGGGGACTGCGGATCCGTCCCTGAAGCGGGACGCGAACCGGCAGAGTTGGGAGAAGGTAAACAAGGGCCACGCCCCCTGCTGTCGCCCCGCGGGCGCGCACCCGCCGCTCCGGCCGCCGCCGGTACATTTCCACTCTCCCAGCGCCTCTCCCCAGCTGGACTCCCGCGCGGCCCCGGAGGTGGAGGCTGCCCCCGACCCCAGTCCTCACCCCTGGCGCCGAGGCTCCGCACCCTCCACACTCACCTGTAAAGGGTGTCCCCCGCCCCTCCAAAAAAAACTGTCTAATTTGTGCAGAGCCTCCAACCCCAGGAGCCGAGCATGCTGCCCCCGCGTGCAGCACCCGCGTGCACCGGGCCGGGAGAGGGGGCGACAGGGCGGAGGCGGTGGCCCCCGGAAGGTGTCTGGGACCGGACCGGCTGCACGTGAGCCCAGCGCGAGGTCATGTGCACCGGCTCAGCCCGGTTCGGCGCCCGGACGTGCTGCGTATCAACAAAATGAAACTCGGGGAGACAGGAGGGCAGATAGCTCCAGGTTCTCAGAGCCCCCGCCCCGGCCGCTCGACCTCCCCACAGTACCCATCTCCCGCCGCAGCCCCTACGCCCGACCGGAGCCCGCGGGGCAAGTTGCAGCCCTGACGCGCCCCCGCCCGCCCGCGCCCCCTCGCCGGCCCGGGGGCGCTTTGCCGCAGTCATTAATAAAGAAGGTCGCCAAGCTCACCCTTCCAAAAGTTGTTGTTGCATGCGCCCCTCTCAGCCTCCCCGCACTGTACTCTTTAAAACACGACTGACCAACATGCGCAATCTCTCTCCCCTGTGCTGTGCATCCCCCCCCCTCCGCGCTGGCTTCCTAGAACAGGCAGCCAGCAGGAGAGAGAGGGAGCGAGCGAGCAAGAGAGAGCGAGGGAGCGAAGAGCGCTGGCAGATCTGTTGCAAAAACACCAAATAACGTCGTGGAGATGCGCAGGGCCCATCCGCCGGGGGCTGGATCTTACCTTGCTTCGCGGTGCCCCCCTGACTGGCGCTGCCCTCGGCTACGCGCCGCTGCAGGGACCGGCGCGGGAAGGATGCTCCCGAAGCCGGGAGCTCCTGGGGCCGGCGCGGGAGGGCGGGGGGCGCGCATCCATCCGGGGTCGCGGCGAGGGAGGCGGCTGGGCCCGCGGCGTCCCCGGCCCCACGCCCCCCGCCGGGGACTGTCGGCCCGCCGGACCTGAGCCGGTGCCGCTAGGAGTGGGCGCAAAGTAACTCCATGGACGCTACTCACCCCCCCAAAAAATAGCCTCCAACTGCGATGGCCGCGGTCGGCACCATTCACCAACCCCCTGTGTATGTTTCTGTTTCTTTTTAAACCAAGACTTCCTTGTGATCTCTTTAGAAAAAAAAAAAAATGTGTTGGGGTGGGGGGGGGGGGGGGGGGGGCAGGAGGAGCGAGGGAGGGGGAGTAGCCACTTTTTTCTTATTCACTCGGATCTCCGTTCCCAACACCCCCGTCGCCGCCCCCCACCCCCCCGCCCAGTTGTTTGGCTCCGGCGGGGAGTCCAGGTAGCGTTGCGGGCCCCGTGGGGGGAGGGTGCCCTGCCTCACGGCCCCCACCACCACGCCTGCCGGCACCCTGGGCCCGGACTCCCTATGGACTCTGGGGCGCCCCCAGCCCGCCCTGTCCCCAGGGCCGGGCCCGAGCGGCGGCTGCGCCCGTGCAAGTCCCATCAGGTCTGCTCACACTTCACACACTCACACACATACCCCGCCCCTCCACTCTTTCACTCACACTTTCTGCTCACACCCCGCCCCCTACGCGCCCCAGACCCGGGCGGCGCCCCCCGCAACCTTAAAAAAAAAAAAAAAAAAAGCAAGCTTATACTTAAAAAAATCTTTTGGCGCCATATTAATGACGTACTTAAAATTTGCCATTTCTCCCTGCGTCAAAAAGACGTTTCTTTGCAAATAACAGCCTGGAGGCGACACTCGCGGAGGGAACGAGGTTTGCACTGAGCACCCCGCCCCCCGGGGCCCTCCAGCGCTGGAAGACCCTCGCCCTAGGCCCTGCTTCTGAATCGCTGGTTTTAAAATGCGAATCGAATAAATCGCGTGGCGTTTTGCAGCGCCAGAAGTGAGCAGAAAGTGCTGGCAGGAGGGGAGTGGAGGGGCGCACGCGAGTCTTGGGGAGGGGGCGCGGCCCTCCTCCCCGCACCCACTCCAAATGGAAAACTAACATTCCGGGCGGGGGAACTTGAAATTGTAGGCGACCTCAAGAAAAGAGGGGCGGTCCGTAGAGAGGGTCCCCATTGGGCTCGTCGCCCCCTCCCCCCTCCCGAGTGCCTCCTGGCGCCTAGCGCTGCCCCGCATTTCCGGGGGGTGGAGAAGGCAGTGATGGGTGGGTGGGTGGCTGGTTGCACATCCTGGCCCCAGTAGGATTTTGCCCCGGGGCGACCCCTTCCTCCTTGCTCTTCCTTCCCATTACCCCGAAAGGGTTAAAAACCGAGGGGTAACTTCCAAAGGCTGGCACATGGCGAGGAAGCGGGGCGCCCCTCTCCCCACCCTTCGTCTCCTCGCCCCTCCTCCTCCGGCTCCACTTCCCGACTTGACCTTGTGGTGCACAAACAGTGCGCTCGGATCCTCGCAGTTTCTGGAAGAAGAGCCTGCGCTCGCCAGGCGGGCGGGCTCTCGGGCTGCTAGCCGGCGGTGGCGGGGCCTTGGGTCTGTTCCCGGAGCCGCGGGCCACACCCACCCAACCCGCTGCGCCCGCCGAGCTCACCTTCTCTCGAGGAAGGAGAAAGACTGGCCTCCTGGTCGGGGAGGAATCGGGGGTCAGGCTTCAACCTCCTCGGAATGCCTCTGACTGGGGAGGGGGTGGTGTGGCCTCGGGAGGAGGTTGTGGGGAGCCTGGCCCAACATCCCCAAAGCATCGTGGCCAACTTTTTCTTCCCCCTCATGCTCGGCTGCCCCTCAAAGATTATCCAATAATTTTTCAGCTCACCTTTGGCTTTGAAGGCATGTGGGTGAGTTTTGAATGGACACCAGACTTGCCTTCCCTCTCCAAGACTGAAGATTGTTTATTCTTCCTTACCCCTCCACCCCCTTCCATGGGAAGATAAATATTCAATTTACATAAGATGACATTTATGTGACAATTAAGAAGATTCCCCGATGGAATGTTGTGAACACATTTGCTTATAGGAGAAATAAATCTAATAATAAACAAACTCATAATAACAGCACAAATCCTTTGACAGGGCGGATTGTCTACCCAACAAAGAGGGAGATGATGGATGCTGAAATAAGCAGTTTTTGCAACAAGAAAGAAATATGAGCTCAGAGTCACTGCAACATTTCTTCTTCCTTGGCCTTCATTCACAAAGTCTGAGGATAATTGTCTGGCAAGGGGATGGTCTGGGTATTACCTACCAATTAGACCTGACTGTGGCTCTCAGTGGTCAATTGGTGGGATTTTTCCCTAGCCAAGTTCAGAGCCTGGAAACAGGTGTTGCAGACTTGGAGTGTGCAACAAAATGGTTAAATACTTAGGTTCTAATCCTGGCTTTGCATTTTGGAAGTTGTGTGATGTGGGCAAGTGAATTCATCTCCCTGAATCTCTTTTTCCTTTTGGGTAGAATGGGGTGGTTGGAGGGTTGCTGAGGCCATGTGTGCACATATACATATATGTATGTATGTACATATACATGTGGTATGTGTAAAGCAGCAGCTGGCACAGGGTGCATAGTGCTCATTAGCACTTTGCCTGGTACCTAAGTGGGGTTTTTCTTGGAAGGGTGAAATTGTTCTCTGAAGCTTGATGGTCAAGGTCCAGATGTCCATTCTGGGGTGGGAGTGAGGGTACCAGTTTACAGTGGTGCAGTCTAAAGAGATGACCTCCAGAGATGAATGAGGGAGGGGTGACCATTTAAAGTGCACCTGCCGTGTACTGGTGATTTTGTAAGCTATTCCATCTCATCCTCCCGCAAACCTCTTCTTACCTGTTCAGAAAGGTTTAGTAACTTACCGCAGCCATACGGCTAGTAAGTGCTGGCAGAATTGGCTCCTAGGTCTAGCTGACCTTGAGACCTGCGTGGTTTCTATTTTACCACACTGCCAGAAAGAAAAAGTATTACTATTATTGGTTTGATTGGGGATGGGGAGATCTGACTGCTATCTTGGCAAGAAGAATTTTATGAGCGGCACTTTGCTTCTGAGGTGGTTCCCTGACTTGGGGTGAGACCCAGGCCTTCTAATGAGCCCTTGAAAATACCTCTTGCTTAGGACTATCAAAACCCTTGGATTCCCACAGCTCTTTGCTGCTGTTTAAGGTTAACCTTGGAAGCTTTAACAGAATGATAACGATAAAGCTAATTGTAACTCCTTAATCTTTATTAAAAGTCTCACAAATCATTCATTAACTTTTTTTTTTCCCCCTTTTTCCACAATCTCTACTTTGGATGTAATCATTCATTAACTTTTTACAGGAAAGAAATGAGAAGAAACAGAGTTCTTGAGATGTAATCCTTCGTTTTTCTCAACAAGCCTCCCGTATGCCAGGCACCATTCTTGGTGTTGGGGACACAGCGCACACACACACACAAATAAGTAAATAAATAAAATAAACAAATGAGGGGTGGGGCAGGGAGAGCATCAGGAAAAATAGCTAATGCATGCTGGGCTTAATACCCAGGTGATGGGATGATCTGTGCAGCAAAACCACCACGGCACATGCTTACCTATGTAACAAACCTGCACATCCTGCACATGTATCCCAGAACTTAAAAAAAAAAAGGTAAAAATGTTAGCTGCTAGAGTGAGCAGGTTATTAAAATTGGACATGATTTTATTCTAAACTCCAAAATATAAAAATATATATTATGCTTGAAAGTGATTAAGTGCTGTGGAGAAACTCTTAAGTAGGAAAGGGTGATACACAATGTGGGAGTGCAGTTTTAAATAAAATAGGGAAGTTCTCACCGAGAAGACAGTCTTTGAGAAAAGGAGGTAAAGAAGTGAACTGTATGTGGGAGTATGTGTGTATGTACATGGGGGAAGAGAAGCCAGCTGTTCTTAACCTGGAGACCACAGACTCTCCTCTCCATGGGTCTGTGGATAGAATTCAGAGAATCCTTGACCTTAGATGAGAAAAAAATTACAACTTTATTTTCACTAATTAAAATGTAGCATGTTCTTCAATTATGAATACAGATAACAAGTCAGTGATATTACCAACACCTGTGACATTATTGCTGGTAGAAATCACAGATATTTTCATATCACTAGAATTGTTGCAAATATCTTAAAATATTACACTTCATGAGTAATTTATTGAAAAAAATATCATTTTACTCATCACTACTCCAAAATCATGGTGCTAGCTCTTGTAATTTAATGAATTAATAGAGAAGCACATATATACGTTTAAATATTTTGAGAGTTGTATTTCAATACAATTGGTTTTCTTTATAATTTGTGGAACTTATTTTATGGATTTAAAGATACTCTACTCGGAAGGAGTCCACAGGTGTCACAGACTGTCAAAATAGTCCATGGCACATGCACAAAAAAGGTTAAGAACCAAGGTCTCTAGAGACCAGCAAGTGCAATGCCTCTGAGGCAGGAATGTGCTTAATATGTAAATGAAAGAGATTATATAGGGCCTTGTAGGTTGTTGTTAGGAAGTTGCCTTTTGCTGGAGTGATGAGAGTTTTGAGCAGAACACTGACATGATCTGACCCTGGGTT